CTTTTATCTTACCCCTTTCACCAGGCGCTGGGCTCTCACACATGTCGATGTAGTCAGGCTGTTGTCCTGTGTCTTCTGGTCTCTCTTTTAGGATTAGTTGTATTTGTTGTATTTTCAAAAATATATATGTTTTTGGGAAGAGATTCCCACTGTCCTACTCATGCCGCCATGTTGGCTCCGCCTCAGTGGACTCATTCTTAAAAGGCAGTGGGAGAAAGACAAGAGGGAATCAAGATGAATCTCAGAGAGCTGAAGTCCCCCAGTGGGGAGAATGTGTGTGGAAGAGCAGCTGCAGGGAAGGGAATCGCCGGACTCCCACTGCTGTCTAGGGCTGGGTTTTGGCAAATGAGGCATGGCAGCATTTAGAAGTTATCATCAGAAATTTAATTATTTCTCCTATCCCTGCAACAGTTTAACTTTCACACAGGGAAAACCAGTCACTTCGTGGCATTGTCCCTTCTCAACTCCGACTTGCTGACAAATGAAGTCTGGTGAACACTAATATCAAAGGTGGCCTTGAACTTCCAACTTCAGACTCAAGGCCACAGGGATTACTATTACAAGATTCAAGTATGCCAGGGAAGGCTGGCTGTTATACATGAGGGAGGTATTAGACAAGGAACAAGAGAGGGCTGTGCTGAGGGAGGCCACATGCAGTTCATAACCCTGATCTAGAATGTTTCAGCCCAGCTACAAGTACCTTCCCTCCCTCTCCATGGACTTCCTTGGAGTCCAAGGTAATTTTCTCCAATTTGCTACTGCCTTTGACATCTGGGGAGATGAAAATTTTAACTGAAATAACTACCTTGATTATTTTGCAGTCCGATGTGAAATTGACAATGACCTGATGGAATTCAACATTTTAAAAATCAGCTTCAAAGCTGACAAGGAGGTAAAGCAAAGAGAGATCAGAAATGGATTTCTCAAGCTGTGCAGCATTCTACAGGAGAAAGAGAAAGTCATCATGGAGCAGATAGAGAATCTAGAAGTGTCCAGGCAGAAGGAGATTGAAAAATATGTGTACATCACAACCACAAAAGTGAATGAAATGGATGGCTTGATCGCCTACTCCAAGGAGGCCCTGAAGGAGACAGGCCAAGTGGAGTTCCTGCAGTCGGCCAAGATGCTGATGGACCAGATCAAGGATGGCATCGAGAGCACCTTCAGGCCCGACCCACAGCTCCGGCTACACTCCTTCCACTATATGCCCTTGGACTTCACCAAGCTCTCCAGTGCCATCCACAAGCTCTTCCCCACAGGACCCAAAAAGCTGTGCCCTTCAGGGGACTCCCTGCCCTCCTGCTACCCCGTGCACTCGGAAACGGTGATTGCCAGGAAGGTCACCTTCAGCACCCACAACTTCGGCAACCAGCAGATCTACCAGTGAAGCACCTCCTTGATGTCTTTCAGTGCCCCTGGTGGCAAGAAGTCCAAGATGGGTCTGGAGGCGTCTGGGCGAGCCCAGTCAGCCACAGCTGCCAAACCCACAGATGGCCTCTACACCTACTGAAACACAGGGGCAGAAGGCGAGCCTGTGCAGAGTGGAGGAAGCTTCCACAGCTGGTACGCATTCAGTGATGGCTCTGTGAGAACCCCAGGCCCCATTGTTATCTACCAGGCTCTGGTGTATCCCCGAGCTGTCAAGTTAGTAAAGGCTGTGTCCCTGTGTGGAGGGTGGGAGGGTGTGGGATATGGAACAGACATGAGTAGTCAGGAAATGTTGCACTTACCTCTTTGACCTCTAGTGTTGGGTAGCTTCAATCTGCTCCTCTGGACTCTTTGTGGTCATCCCACTCAAAAGGGATAAGTTCCTGAAATCTTAAGTTGCCCAAGAGTGGCTTAAACCAATGTATTTAGCTCATAGAATTCATCAGAAAATCCCAGCCCTACTTCAAAGGCAGCTTCTCAGTTGAAAAGAGAACCCGATTTGGGAACCAAAGTAATTTAGAGAGACTGCTTGGAGAGTGTAATATTACCCGAAGGAATATCTGTAATAGTAGAAAGAGCACAGAAACTGGCATTAGAAATGCAGGCTTCATGATCTATCTGCTGTGATTCCTCTAGATTGCTACCTTTCTTAAAGAAAATATCCAGACTCCCCATGATTTGGAAAGATTGGAGGGATATCCCCAGTGTCATTCCAATTCTTTTTGCCTGAGAGCCAACATTTTTTGGGGGGTGTGGAGGGGGCAGTGGGTCTCCCACAGACCTCTGCAGCAGCCACCACCTAGCCTCAGGGGACATGACTCTACCTTGAGCCTCCTGGCCTACTATGGCCAAATGGCCTTTCCCTTAACATTCCTCTCAAATCCAGCTGAATTTGAGTTGTTCACAGAATGTTTCACTAAAGTTCAAGGAGGAAAAAAGATAACTCGCAACTAGGTATTCCACTCCAGCAAACCTTGCCTCCTCTGGGCCCCCCACAGGGATGTGTCCCGGGACCACTCACGGCCTGCTTCCACGTGCCCACCTTTTGCCCCCAGAGTCTTGGAGCTCTGCCAGAGACTCTTGTCATCCTTGAAGTCTATACATCTATGTGCGCCTGGAGATCTTGTTACAGTGCCAGTCCCGAGATCCTGTGCTTATAACAACCTTCAGGTGTTGCCTTTGCTGCTCATCCAGAGACCACACTTTAGCATCAAAGGTCTAAAAACAAGATAATGAAAGCCAGACCTAACTAAACTCTACTTTCCCACTCTCCTGAAACAAAACAATCTATGTTTTGGAGTCTATAATTGACACTAAGCAGGACCATACATTGAAAGTTAGAACGTACCCTCCCATGGGCTATGGGACACAGCAGTGTCTCTGCCCTACAAAGAGGGCACACCCACAACTGAACAGCTGAACTTTTTCATTTCTAGATAGTATTAGAACAGCAAATCCTGCAGTGTATGTGACATTAGCTCAGGAATGACATTACGTCTCATCCCCCCGCAACTTAGACCGCTTGAGAAGTTAGCAGGATCTTGCTTTGGAGAAGGAATGGTGATGTTTTCTATACTTGGGCTTGGAGAACAGTCACCCCCTGCCACCCATCAGTGGTCCCTGGGTGAGCTCAAGAAAGGACTCTACACAGGAAGACCTGGTCAAGGCATTGGCTGTCAAGAGAGGACATCTACACCTAATGCCAGACCGTGGCATTTGATGTAAAAATATCAGTGATCCTTATTTTAGGACCAGTCACACAGGAATCATACAGCTCAGTAATGCAGAAGACGAAACCTGTGTTGACATTTCTCTCAGAGGGTGGTTGACTAACAAACCCCTTAAGGCTTTCAGCAGAGAAAATATTCTTAAAGTTAGTCTTGTAGCTTGTCAATATGTATCTTAAAAATCCTAAAGAGCTTTTAATAAAATTCTATTTTATTTCCTAGAAATCCCTCTTAAGAAAATGATTCAAAATTCAGATGAAGATTCCTGCCCAAAGTGTTCATTGCACCATTATTTATGAGTGTAAAATTAGAAACAACCTAAGTTTTCAACTACAGAAGAATTAAATAATTTATGGGGCAGTTATTAAAATGGTGCTTTACTGAATTTTTAATGATAATAGGCAATATGTAAAATACAGTAAGTGAAAGAAAACAGGAATCAAAGCAGTATAAACCAAATTATACATATTTGTGTGTTTGTGTGTATTCCAAAACTGGAAAGAATAATGAATAATTAACCAAATTGTGGGATTATAAGTGATACTTACTTTCTTCCCTTACACCTTTCCTGTATTTCCCAAGAGTTTTACAATGAGTGTTTGTTTTACTAATCACAAAAAAGTAAGTTAATTTCTATTAATAAGTTATATAAATATATCAAAAGTTTTATAAGTATAAATATGTAAAAATAACTAAATTAAACAAATTCATAAAATTTAAAAGTTTATATGCTAATAAGAGTAATTATAAATTAATTTTATAAATAAAATGAAAGTTCAGTTTATTAAAATTAAATGAAGCATGCAAGATCTGTTAAAAATATAATTATAAAATATATGCCAGGCACAATCTGTTAATTGACACTTGTTAATATATTTCTTCTCAAGAGTTGATATTTTATGCTTTGCATGTGAGCATATATCCTCCATTACTCGGGTAAGTTGTTTCACCTCTCTGAGCTCTACTTCTTCATATCTAAGGATAGGAAGAATTAATATTGTCAAAATGGCCATACTGCCCAAAGCAATTTATAAGATTCAGTGCAACCCCTATTAAAATACCAATGGCATTTTTCAATGAACTAGAGCAAATAATCCTAAAATTTATATGGTTCTGAAAAAGACCCTGAATAGAAATCCTGAGAAAGAAGAACAAAGCTGTGGGAGTATTACTCTCCCTGACTTCAAGCTGTAATACAAAACTACCAAAACCAAAACAGTACAAAACACAAGAACAAACACACAGATCAATAGAACAGAATGGAGAGCCCAGAAATAAACCAACACATATATGTTCAAATAATCTATCATTAAGGAGCCAAGAATATACAGTGGGGAAAAGCCTAGTCTTCTCAATGAATGGTGTTGGGAAAAGTGAACAGCTACATGCAAGAGAATGAAACTGGATTATTGTCTAACCCCATACACAAAAGTAAACTCGAAATGGATTAAGAACCTGAATGTAAGACATGAAACTATAAAAATCTTAGAAGAAGACATAGGCAAAAATCTCTTAAACATAAGCATGAGCAATTTTTTTCCAGACACATCTCCCTGGGGCAGGGGAAACAAAAGCAAAGATGAACAAGTAGGACTACATCATGCTAAAAAGCTTCTGTACAGCAAAGGACACCATCAGCAGAACAAAAAGGCAACCTACAGTATGGGAGAACATATTTATAAACACTTTATCTGATAAGGAGTTAACATCCAAAATAGATGAAGAACTCATACACTTCAACACCAAAAAAAATAAGTAAATCAATTAAAAATAAGGGGAGGGTCTGAACAGATATTTCTACAAAGAAGAAATAAAGATGGTCAATAGGCACTTGAAAAGATGCTCCCCATCACTAATTACCAGTGAAATGAAAATCAAAAGCACGATGAGATATCACCCCACACTGGTTAAAACAGCCACTATACAAAAGACAACAAATAACAAGTGTTGGTGAGGATGTGGAGAAAAGAGAACCCTCCTACACTATTGGTGGGAATGTAAATTGGTGAAGCCACTATGGGAAGAAGTATGGAGGTTCCCTAAAAAAACTAAAAACAGAAATACCATATAACCCAGTAACTCCACTTCCAGGAATTCATCCAAAGAAAATGAAATCTCTGATTCAAAAAAATATATGCACCTCTATGTATATGCATTATTTACAATAGCCAAGATATGGAAGTAATGAAAGTGCTGATCAGCCACAAAAAAAGAAAGAAATCCTGCCATTTAGGACAACATGGATGGACCTAAAGGGTATTAAGCTAAGTGAAATAAGCCAGGTGGAGGAAGACAAACACCTTATTTTTTTTATTAAGGTATGATTGATATACACTCTTATGAAGGTTTCACATGAAAAAACAATGTGGTTACTACATTTACCCATATTATCAAGTCCCCACCCATACCCCAATGCACTCACTGTCCATCAGTGAAGAAAGATGCCATAGATCCACTATGTGCCTTCTCTGTGCTACACTGTTTTCCCCTGATCCCCCACACCATGTGTACTAAACATAATACCCCTCCATCCCCTTCTCCCTCCCTCCCCACATGTCCTCCCACAACCCTCCCATTTGGTAACCATTACTTCATTCTTGGAGTCTCTGAGTCTCTGCTATTTTGTTCCTTCAGTTTTGCTTCATTGTTATACTCCACAAATGAGGGAAGTCATTTGGCATTTGTCTTTCTCCATCTGGCTTATTTCACTGAGCATAATATCCTCCAGCTCCATCCATGTTGTTGCAAATTATAGGATTGTTTCTTTCTTATGTCTGAATAGTATTCCATTGTGTATATGTACCACATCTTCTTTATCCATTCATCTACTGATGGACACTTAGGTTGCTTCCATTTCTTGGCTATTGTAAAAAGTGCTGCGATAAACATAGGGGTGCATATGTCTTTTTGAATCTGAGAAGTTGTATTCTTTGGGTAAATATTCCAAGGAGTGGGATTCTTGGGTCAAAAGATATTTCTATTTTTAATTTTTTTTGAGGAACCTCCATATTGCTTTCCACAATGGTTGAACTAGCTTACTAGTCTCACCAGCAGTGTAGGAGGGTTCCCCTTTCTCCACATCCTCGCCAGCATTTGTTGTTCTTAGTTTTTTTTTTTCTTTACAATGCTGGCCATCCTTACTGGTGTGAGGTGATATCTCATTGTGGTTTTAATTTGCATTTCCCTGATGATTAGTGATGTGGAACATCTTTTCATGTGTCTGTTGGCCATCTGAATTTCTTCTTCGGAGAATTGTCTCTTCATATCTTCTGCCCATTTGTTAATCAGGTTATTTGCTTTTTGGGTATTGAGGCATGTGAGTTCTTTATATATTTTGGATGTTAACCCCTTGTCAGATATGTCATTTACAAATATATTCTCCCATACTGTAGGATGCCTTTCTGTTCTGTTGATGGTGTCCTTTGCTGTACAGAAACTTTTTAGTTTGATGTAGTCCCATGAGTTCATTTTTGCTTCTGTTTCCCTTGCTTGAGGAGACGCTTTCAGGAAGAAGTTGCTCATGCTTATATTCAGGAGATTTTTGCCTATGTTATCTTCTAAGAGTTCAATGGTTTCATGACTTACATTCAGGTCTTTGATCCATTTCAAGTTTACTTTTGTGTATGGGGTTAAATGATAATCCAGTTTCATTCTCTTGCATGGAGCTGTCCAGTTTTGCCAACACCAGCTGTTGAAGAGGCTGTCATTTCCCCATTGTATATCCATGGCTCCTTTATCATATATATTGACCATATATTGTTGTGTTTATATCAGGGCTCTCTAGTCTGTTCCATTGGTCTATGGGTCTGTTCTTGTGTCAGTACCAAATTGTCTTGACTACTGTGGCTTTGTAGTAGAGCTTGAAGTTGGGGAGTGTAATGCCCTCAGCTTTATTCTTCCTTCTCAGAATTGCTTTGGCTATTCGAGGTCTTTTGTGGTTCAATATGGATTTTAGAATGATTTTCTCTAGTTCTTGAAGAATGCTGTTGGTATTTTGATAGGAATTGCATTGAATCTGTAGATTGCTTTAGGCAGGATGGCCATTTTGATGGCCAATATTAATTCTTCCTATCCATGAGCATGGGATGAGTTTCTTTATATTGGTATCTTCTTTAATTTCTCTTAGGAGTGTCTTGTAGTTTTCAGGGTATAGGCCTTTCATAAATACCTTACGATTTCACTTATATGTTGAATCTAAAAACAAAACAAAACAAAACAAAATGAATAAAAGAGCAGTAGACTCATAGACCCTGAGAAGTGATTGGTGGTTACCATGGGGGAGGGGGAAGGGTGTGAGGGTGAAGGGGATAAGGAGGCACAAAATCTCAGGCATTATATAAGTTAGTCACAGGATGGAAGTGCAGCATGGAGAACAGTCCATGGTTCTGCAATATCTTCCTATTTTGACAGTAACTGCACTAGTTGCGGTGAGGATTTAATAATGTGCATAACTGTTGAATCACTATTGTATAGTTGAAGAAACATATTATATATAAATTATACTTCAATTTTAAATAAATAAATAAATAAGTGAATGAATGAATAAATAAATAATAAAACATAGGGTTGGAATAGATACACTTTTTTATTTTCTAGTACTCTGTGGTTCCATTGGAATTTGCTAAATGTAGTATTTCTAAGCCTCAACTTTAACATGGCATAATAAAATCTCCCTTCCAGGGAGTATGAGGACTAAATGAGCTGGGCAATATCAGACACAAAATCTGATGCATAATAGGTATTCAATAAATGGTAGCTACTTTGGGTAGCATTTTCAGAAAGACAACTGTCACCTCCCTGTTGACTGACGGTAACAAGGCGCGTTCTTCAATTCTTGAAAGGCATTACAAGTATCATGGCAGGCTTCATCACACAGCTTTCAAAACTATTGTACACAGTTGAATTCAGTCTTCAGCAGCTAGAAGGGATGGCGTTAGCTTAAACATCCCACGGATAGTTAGTGACACAAATCTTTATGGGAAAGAAAGCTGAATGGTGTGTACCACACCCACATGTTCATTTCTTTACAGGTTTACTGGACATGCCCAGCAGAAGATGTGGTCTCTTTTGAGATGGAATTCTATGAACTCATTAATTCCCCACCTAACAATGTGCAGGCAGAGTTCTGTGGACAAATTCAGGACATAATGCAGCAGAATGTGGAGCTGCACAACCTGACCCCCAACACTGAATATTTTTTTAAAGTTAGAGCCATCAACAATAAAGGTCCTGGGCAATGGAGTGACATCTGCAAGGTACTGTGCACATTATTCCTCAGATTTTCTTTATAAACTCTGGATGCCATTCTGTTAGGATGATCATGAGATCACAGGACCCACCAAGTACTTGGCCCCTCTAAACCCAGAAGATTGGTTAACTGAGAGCCAGAGAGAGAGGGCTACTGGCCTCAACCAACTTTGCAAATGAGGCCCGAGAATTGTTAGTTCAGTTTGAAAAAGCATTTGTGCCAGGCATTTTGTTAGGTTGGAGAGAGTCAGAGGAAAATAAGACATAATCCGTGCCTTCAAGCTCAGAGTCTAGGAGATAAATAATTGTGGTGTGAGAAAGGCAAAAAAGAGTTGTGTTAGCCCTGGTGGTGACTCAAAGCAAGGACAGAGTGCTGGATTTAACAAATACAGAATACATACATGAGTAGTTTTTTAATATAAGTATGTCCCATGCAATATTTAGGATATACTTACGTTTATCTGAAAGTCAAGGAATAGCCACTGAGCAGGTCAGTGTGGACTCCAAAAACAGGGACAGGATTATTCCTATCTTCTTTGTGATGCAAGGATGATTCTTCTTTATGGCCCCAGGGGACATATCTTCATGAGTATACTTTTACTGATATTCAAAGGTGAAAAAGAAGAAAAATATCAAAAATGTCCAGAGCTATCTTACTGTACAACCATGATGGTGTTCTTTGGAATCACCGAGGATTATGTCTCAATCAGGGATTCTTTAGAAGTAAAGAGAGTAAGTCCATTCATTTCAGCTTCCATAAAGGGAAGTTCATGGTACAGAGAAAGGAAAGGGAGGGAGGTCTCATGAAACCATTTCCAGCCAGGAGATACAGCTGATAGGCAAGGGGACTGAAAAGTCATCAGTTTCTCTCAATCTCTCCATCAGTCAATCCTATGTCTTCTTTCTCTCTCTGTCTCTCTCTCTCTCTCCCTGCCCACCACACCCCCTTCCATCTGTTTTTCTCTGAATCTGCCCCACTTTAAGCTAGCTCATAATTTCTCCTCTCCTAAATTAGGCTTGCATGTGGTTTTAGATTTTCATGGCCCAACACATGACAGTCTGTGTAACCAACACAATCTGACTAGCTACACTCCCTTTGTCTCTGGTCAAATGTTTGCAGAAAATAATCCGATTGGCTGCCAGCTCTAGTGATGAAAGGAAGCAGGAGATAGGCTGTGGGCAGGACCATGCTGTTGGTAGGACACCAGTAGCAAGTCTCCTGGGGATGGGGCCTCCCTACTCCATCCTTATTGCAAGTTCCAAGGGTGAGCCCAGCACCCACATGCACCCCCTCCCTTCCCACAGAGGTCAGACACTCACATGGGAAGGAAGTGGGATGAGAAAGTCAACCTAGCTGCCCTTCCTGCTACCCTCCACCCCCCAGCCAGTTACCTGTCTGGCAGTTGCCCCAGAGCCCAGTTCTTGTGGAAACCCTTCTCGCCAGAGCATGGAACACCCACAGCTGCTACCATGTTTTGCAGCATGTCCTTTCAGCTGTGGATTTTTCCTTCCATCTGATTCCATCTGCCTTCTCATCTTTTAGAAATTCCTCAAAAAAGTCGTGCCCATGCAGAGCATGCAGTGCTGTTACTAATTTTTTTTTAATGTATCTTCTGTCATTTTTAGATGCTCGGCACATGGACAGGCATGGAGAGACTGAAGTGTGTCAGCCTTTTTTAGGCAGGTGTTTTGCCATCACTCTGAAACTCTGAACTCCTTAAGAACAAAATTTTTGTCTAATTTATCTTTCTTTCTCCACAGTGCTTACCACAGCTTTGTGCATATAGCTGGCTCTTAATGGTTATTGAATGAATACATGAGTGAAAATGTGACCAAACAAATGAACAGATGAATGAATGTCTAAGGAGTGAAGAAATAAATTGATAAATAAAATTAATAATTAAAAAGTGCCATAAGATGTCTGAAAGCTGTTAACTGTGTTACATAGTCAGTCAAGACATATTTCCACCTGAAATTGTGTTTACATGATTAATTTGTACTTCCTAAAAAGGAAACTCATTCCAGTTTCTTTGCTTTTTTCACACAATTTCTAAATGAGCAGAGCACTAATTAATGAGGTTTTCTAGAAGCTTCATTTTTATCTGACTTGCAGGGCTGCAATATAGATTTTTCCTTCAGAAGTAATTCTCCTCCCTTTGTGATTGTATTAGCATTCCAGGAGAAACACAGGTTTCCTTAACATTTGTCATGATTTGCATAAGTAAAGGCTTCAGTGGCAAATGAAAAAAAGATGGTGTGTTTGAATGACATTTATAAAGCTTCATAAAAGTAATGACTTCAGCTCTTTCCTATAAAATCGAAATATTTTTCCATTGGCATCAGTTCTCTGCAGATATTCCTGAAAGGTTTCATTTAAAATGCTGTAATGAGGCAGCAGAATCATTTCTTATCCAAAATACAATATTTCCCTCATATGTACTTTTGTAAAGGAAGTGAAATAACACCTTTTATATTTGATTTTCATAGTCTGTGGCTTGCTGATTATTTAAAGGATTTTATTTGAACTATATAATACACAAAGCATGAAAACTAACTTCAAAGCTTTTTAAAGGTACGATTTATTAAAGGCCAACTTGGTGTCAGCAACTGTATATTCATTACCACACTCATCCCAATTGCTTGGAAGGCAGGAAGTTATTGCCTCTGTTTTACAGATGAGGAAACTGAGGCTCAGAGAGAGAAAATGGCCTTCTAGAATTTGAAGAAGGTGCTGAGGGGGAACCTAGGTCTCATCCAATATGGGAGCTGTGTCCCCCTGCACTGTAATCAGACACAGCTAAGTCTGGGCAGGTGGGCTGAGCCATGGGGACCTGCCACCTCACTCTGGCAGGATGTTGCTAAAGCAACAGCAGTGACAGTAGAACTATTTTTTTTTTGAGAGAAGATCATGCATTGAAAAGAGCACTGGACTTGGGCTGGTGTACGTGAGTCCAAGGCCCGGTTCCACTAGTCTGTATGCTCTGTGAGAACAGGTACCATGTTGGCCTTATTCATCTCTTTTGGGCCATGGACCCTAGTTGAGAGCCTTTAACACCCAAGAGCCTAATTGATATTTTTGAAGGGATGGAGAAATGTGTTTTTAGCAGGTCATGTACCCTTTGGCCTCAAAAGTCATGTACCTTTTTCTCCTCCTGCTCTTCCTCTAGTCCTTGGTGTACCTGCTGACCACCATCCCTGTTTCTGAAAATAGTCTCCTTGCTTTGATTGGTTCTGTCTGACTTCAAATCTCAGCTAGCTTCCAGGAAATCTTCCCATGTCTAATCTAACTTTCCCTCTGTGCATTGTTTCCAGTTGCTACTGTAATAAATTAGTCATTTAAACAATACATACTTATTATCTTACAATACTGTAGATCAAAAGTCCAAAATTGGTGTCACTGGGCAAAGGCATGGTGTGAGCAGAGCTGTGTTCCTTCTGGAGGCTCTATGGGAAAATCCATTTCCTTGCTTTTTCCAGCTTATAACAGCCACCATCCTTCCTTGGCTCATGGCACCTTCACTTTCAAAGCCAGCAGCATTAGGCTGAGTCCCTCCTAAGTCCTTCTTCTGCCTCCCTCTTCCGCTTTGACAGACTCTTGTGATTACATTGGACTGACATGGTGATTCAGGATAACCTCCCTATCTTAAAGCCAGCTGATTAGCAACCTTAATTACCCGTTGCCATGTAACATAACATAATCATAAATTCAGTGATTAGGACACGGATGGGGGAGGGGTGCATTATTCTTCCTACCTCAATCTGTAAACCAGATGCCCCAGATTACATCAGATTTGGAGATAAAAATTTAGGCTCCACATAGTCACACACTGATTCTGTTCTTGGTCTTTCCCCATGGGGAAATGCTCTTTAGGAAATGCACAACCCCTGCCCCCACCCATCTTCTCAAATCCCTTCTCAGTCTGTACTGCAGATCCCCATGTGTCTCACGTATGCTCGGGAAGTAGCTCTGCCAGCTACCCTAAGTCCTGTGAAAGGTGCATCAGGCTTGAACTCTAGCACACAGGAGGAATGCCTGGCCATGCTGGTAAACTTAGCTTGGTTTCATGAAATCCCCCTTCTGGTTTTTCCCCTGTTCCTACTGCAGACCCTCTCCTAGGCAGAGATGCACTTCTCAGGGTTTGGAGTTGGAAAGCAATCTGAGTGACCGATCTTGTTTCACACTCAGAATGCCCCAAACCTACCCCCTACCTACCCACATCTCACAGTGCCTCCAGGCCCTGAAATGAAATCAAATTGTTTGCACTTTGTCTCCTCAGGATTCATTCTTTTCCAAAGAGCAACTTGATCCTTCATGTAAATAAAGCCTTACTGATCCCTCCACCCTTACCCCGTAGAGGCTTGACACTCAGAGCAAGGATAATTTAGGTTCCAGCTGGACCTATTGTTTTTAGCCTCATAACAGAGGGTTGAATTAACTATACACCTCAGTTCATGGTCCCTTATCAACACTTGTCTATACAAGGTCCTTTTCTTGTTTACATACGCATTCCCTTTAGTGACCATTTCTCCCTAGATGTCCATTCTGATGTGTTTTCTGTGTATCTTTTTGCTGTAAGTGCTCCTACAAGTGTGTTTTGTTTTGAATGTGTTGTTAATGTGCACAAGTAGTATTGCGTTACCTGTCTTACATTGCTTTTTACCTTTTCCTCCCAAATACTGTTTCTATGGTCCACCCAGTTGTTATGCACACTTACTCCCTTACTCCTAAAGCCTATTCCTTCACAGTACACATTTGTTCACCACACTTTATCTGTCTACTCAGCCAGGATGGATACCCAGGTTACCTTCAATAATGCTGCAGTGAATTGCCTCATTCATGACTCTTAGTGGGTGGGACAAGGGTGCGAGCATTTCTGTGGGAAATCATATTAGTTTCCTAGGGCTGCTATATCAAAATGCTACAGATGGGGTGGCTTAAACAGCAGAAATTGATTGTCTCACAGTTCTGGAATCCAGAAGTCCAAAATCAAGGTTCCAGCAAACCTGGTTTCTCCTGAGGCCTCTCTCTCTTTAGCCTGCAGACATCTGCCTCTCCCTGTGTCCTCACATGACCTTTGCTCTGTGTGAGTGCCCCTCTGGTGTGTCTCTGTGTCCAAATTTCCTCCTCTTATAACGACACCAGTCAGATTGGATGAGATCCCACTCTAATGACCTCATTTTAACTTCATCACCTCTTCTAAGGTTCTATTTCCAAATGCAGTTACATTCTGAAGTAGTTGGGCGGTAGGACTTCAACAGAGGAATTTTGAGAGGACACAGTGCAACCCAACAGATGTATACTGGGAGTGAAATTGCTCGGCCTGGAAGAATGTGAATACTTGATTTGACTGCCTACACATATACTTCATAAGAAATGAATGAGGGCCTTCAAATCCTAAGCCCTCCCTACATTTAGCATGATCCAGTTTTCTAGTATTTTGCTAGCTCGATAGGTATAAACTACTATCTCCTTATTGTTTTAAATTTCATTTCATATGCTTGTTAGTTTTCAGGATTTTTTCTTCTGTCAATAGCCTGCTAAATAATCTTTGCCCTTTTTTCTATTGCATTTTTCTTTTTTAGAGATTTGCAGTATGTCCTTATGAATTCTAGATAATGGCTTTAGGCATTGCTAATATGTTCTCCATTCTGACATTTGTCTATTAACTTTGTTCATAGTGTACTTCATGAAACAGCAGAAATCTTCAATTTTGATGTGATCAATGTCACCAATTATTTTTCCTTATGGTTTGACCTTTTGAAGTTTTCTTTAAAAAGTCCTCCTGTATACTTAGATCACAGAAATAATCTCCCACATATTCTTCTATTAACTTTAGATTCACCTTTCAAATTTAGGACTTTACTCTGTCTCGAATCCACCTTTGTATGCAGAGCTAGGTAGGGATATACTTTTTGGCCATCTGGGGAGCCATTTTTCCCAAGTAGATAGTAAAGGTGCTACTTTGATCTTATATTAAATTGCCGAATATCTAGGGATGTGTCTCCAAGCTCTCCAGTATATCCTGTTGGTCTATTTGTCTATTCTTATGTCAATACCACACGAGTCTTATTGTTGTTTAACCTCAGTTTTATGCTATCTTGATGAACTGCTACAGTAAGTCTTCCCATTACCCTTCTTTCTTTTTTTAAGGTTTGTCTCACTAGACATTTATATTCCTTCATATAAATTTTGGAGTAAATAAATTAAATTCCTAAAATAAAAATCCAGGTGGAATTTGATTAGGTTTGATTAGGAAGGTCTTGAGTCTCCATAATCAATTAGTATTTTTGTAATATATCTGACATTTATGCAGTTCATCTTCCACATGCTTAATTAGGGCTTTTAAGTCCTGCTCATAAAGATACTACATGTTCCTTTTTAAATCAGATAATTTATAGTCTCTATTGATATTATCAATGTTATTTTACATTTGATTACATTTTCTAATATATTGCTGGCTTAGAATAAAGTCTATTGGTTGTTTGTAGGTTAATCTTGAGTCCAGCTATCTCATAAACTCTCTTATTATTAAGAGAATCTATCTATTGATCCAGTTTGTTTTTCCATGTATATAATCTTATCATCCATAAATAACGATAGTTATATCTCTTTCTTTATGATCCTTAAACCTCTATTCCTTTTTCTTTCCTTATAACTTTGGCCAGGGCCATGAGTCATACAGAGAATGGCAGCCATAATAGTTGTTACCCTTGTCTCATTCCTGAACTTAATGTTTCTCCACTAAGCTATGAGGAGTATTGATTTAGCTTTTGTGGTGTATAATCCTTACTAAGTTAAGGAAATTTCCTTCCCTTTCTAAATTTCCGAGAGCTTGTGCGATCTTATGGGGTTTTTTTGTATTGAAACAATCATATGATTTTACTCTTTTAGGCATTAATGAAATGAATTACATTGATTTTCTGATGTTAATCTCTACTTGCATTTATGCACTAAATCCTATGTGATCATGATGTATTACTTTTTAACATACTTGATTTTAGTTAACTCATATTTTATTTTGAATTGTTGCATCTATGATCATAAGTGACTGGACCTAAAATGTTTTGCTGATATTATTTTTATCTGGTCCTGGAATCATTATTTTACTAGCTTGAGAAAATGAGGTACAAAACTCTAGTTCTTTTCCTATTTTCCAGAACAACTCTTTCTTAAATTTTGGGAAAATCCACTTGGAAAACTATCCAAGAACTTTGGGTGGGGTAGGGGATGTCAACTATCATTTCAATTTCTTTGGTACCTCAATTTCTGTTCTCTGTTTCTTCTGTGTTGTTCATAGACTCACCTCAGTCCCCACCGCACCATTCACATGTCACACACAGTCTTTATCTCTGGAGTATATCTCCTGATTATACTTTAAGGCAGAACTCAAATCTCCTATTTTTTAAAAGCCAATTCCATGTCTGTCACAACACTACTATCCTTTCTTCATTGACCCCTGATAGCTCTGTGTGTATATCTTACACTGTTTATATTACTTTTGTCAGCATTATCTCTATGTGCTATCTCCACTAATGTCATATGTAATAATCCAGCAGTGGGTAATCTAATGTCATATATAATGTATATAAAAAGATCTTTACCTTGCATGAAGCCCTGTTTTCTCTAAAACTGAAAATAAATTTTATAAAACTAGAGAACATAATGGTAATAAATGTCTACTTCTTTTTGCCCTTTCCCTTTGAAAATGAACATAAAAAGTTAAAATCTTTGCATGTAGACACTTTGTGCTTTGTACAAGCATTGCCCTTCACCATCCAATCCTCACCCCCTCCCCATCTGCCCTGTGAGTCTTGATTTATCTAGACAGAGCCCATTGATTCAGTGGGCTGTCTCTCATCCCTGGATCTCAACCACACTCCCTAAATGCCTCTTAGTAAATATGTATTGGAAGGAACAGGAATGCTACCAAACCAGAGAAATGGAGAACCCCACCACCTTCAAGGTAAGGCATGGAGAGCCACACATAAGCTGAGTTGGTGAGACTTCCAGGAGGGTCCCACTACCCAGTGCAATCTACCTTTTGTAGGTAGCACTGACCATTTACTGTGATCAAAGGTAGTATGAAGCATCAAAGGAAAGTAACTGGCAGATTTACAAATTATGGTTCTATTCACCTTTCATCCGCTTGTCTAAGAATCTTCTCTTTACTATAACCAATGTTGGGATTACAGAGAGGAAAGACTGTCATTGCCCACACCCCAATCAACATGCTCACAGTCTGGTAATAAAGTCAAACAGGGGTCTGTCAAAGATGGTGGTGTGAGTAGGGTGGTGGAAATCTCCTCCCAAAACCATATATATTTTTGAAAATACAACAAATACAACTACTCCTAAAAGAGAAACCAGAATATACAACAACCAGGCTACATCTACATCTGCAAGAACTCAGCATCTCATGAAGAGGGTAAGATACAAAGCTGTGACCCGGCAGGACTCAAGCACTCCCCCGACCCCAGCTCACTGGTAGGAGGAAAAGAATCAGAGTGGGGAGGAGTGGAAGCACAGGACTGCTAAATAACCAGCCCTAGTAATCTGCACCGGGAGCACAGACACACATTGCATGGTGTACTGGCTATTAGAGAAATGGAAAAGTAAAATTTGTGAGTGGGTCTCCACAGCCAGCAACCCTGGGACAAAAGAAAAGCAGGTGTTTTTAAAAGTCTTAAAGGGACAAAGGCTTAATGGCTGGACAAAATCATCCTGGCACACTCAGCCTAGCAGGCTAGGAATCTTAAGGAACCTCAGGGGTCCCAACCACCTGGGGAGTAGTAACATATCCCCAAAGCCCCTCACAGTGATAAGCAGCCTGCCATTCATTCCCCCCCACCAGTGCTGCAAGCAAACTGGCTGACCCACCACAGCTGCGGATCAGCTGGAAAACAGCTCTGCCCACAGCAACCACACAGAGTCTCCTCCCAGCACACAGTTAACTGGCACAGACCCAGAGGCTGCTGCTGGCATGTAGCTGTAGCACAGACAGAAGAAGCTGGAGCAAGATCCAGAGGGCATGAGGGGGTGCTGTTCTCGCAGGAAAACACACCCAATGTGCCGGCGACCCCCCACAGAGCTCTAGGCTAGCCTGAGGGTGGCCCCGCCCACGGCAGCTCAGGGGATTATCCCAGAGACTGCTCCCAGTGTGCAGGTAACCAACACAGCTGCAGAGAAGGGCAAGGTGACCAGCAAGCAGGAAAGGACATTGTTCTCCCAACTGATACATATGCTACCTGCCTACGACCACTTCTATCTCCATGAAAATGCAGAAGAATCTGGTCCAGTCAAAAATCATTCATACAGCCCCAGAGAGAGAGCCTGGTGAGACAGATATAACCAATCTTCCTGAAAAAGAATTCAAAATAAAGGTCATAACCATGCTGATGGACCTGCAGAGAAATATGCAAGAGCTAAGGGATGAAGTAAGGAGAAAGATAAGAGAAATGAAACAATCTATAGAAGGACTTAAGAGAAG